GGGGGGGGGGGGGTGGAACAAGCTTTTAAGGCAGTTCCCTCAGCACTGGCTCCTGCTTCCTCCCCCCTTGATGCCTCTGATTCAGAAGCAGTGGGCGGGGAGGAATGGAATGCATGTAGGCATCAAGTTTAACTGATAGGCCTGTGCTGATAGGTTAATCTTATAGTTGACTACACATTGACATCCCTAGCTTGGACCAGATATAAGCATGGATACATGGCGCTTTTAAGGCAGTTCCCTCAGCACTGGCTCCTGCTTCCTCCCCCCTTGATGCCTCTGATTCAGAAGCAGTGGGCGGGGAGGAATGGAATGCATGTAGGCATCAAGTTTAACTGATAGGCCTGTGCTGATAGGTTAATCTTATAGTTGACTACACATTGACATCCCTAGCTTGGACCAGATATAAGCATGGATACATGGCAGGGGCGGGGGGTGGAACAAGCTTTTAAGGCAGTTCCCTCAGCACTGGCTCCTGCTTCCTCCCCCCTTGATGCCTCTGATTCAGAAGCAGTGGGCGGGGAGGAATGGAATGCATGTAGGCATCAAGTTTAACTGATAGGCCTGTGCTGATAGTCAACTATAAGATTAACCTACACATTGACATCCCTAGCTTGGACCAGATATAAGCATGGATACATGGCATATAAGCTTTCAAATCTACATCTATGTCGGTGTGTTGATCTAAAGAATAACTGTTTATCCATTTCTGGTCCTCATTTTTGCAAAGATTTCCTATACTGTCAAACCATGTGTAGAGTTCATGATATTCACAAATAGGAAAAAGGGCCTCAACCCAGCAACACATTTAAGCACCTTGGGAGTACCTACATGCCTAAAGTTAAGCATACACTTAAGAGCTTTGCTGAATCAGGGTCTTGCACTGTAAGTTTAAAATCACTTGAAAAAAAATGTACATGCATTTTATTGCTGTGTGTTGTTTTTACCAAAGAAGCACACATTTAAAGGCCCAATCCAAAGTCCACCGAGATCAATGGGATCCAATCCATTGACTTCAGTGTGCTTTGGATCAGGCTGTTAGGTACAAATCTTGGTCCTAGTAAATTCAATAGCAAGATGTAATTGATTTCTATGCAAGAAAGATTTGAAGGCAATGCATTTACATACAAGTGTTTACAGAAATGGAGCTCTATAAAGCAATAAGCAGCACTACTACTTAAACAGATACTACTGTTGTTGGCATTGGAGCGACTACTGTTTTGTTAAATGGATACTTACAATCAGTCAGATTTTCTTGATAATCCAATATCATTGCAGGTTTTTTGCTCAAATCAACAATGTCATCCCACAGAACTGTTTGCATGTTGCACAGTTTTGGACTGTTGCTGATTTTAACTCCCCCATTAAGAATTTCTGGGGAAAAAAACAAAAACAAAACACACACACACCAGGATGAAAATGAAGCAATTGATTGTTTTTTCTTTCTTTCTATACATGATGAGTTTTGGGGCATAAGTGGGGGCTTTGGCTATGGGTTGGGAGGAATCAGGGGTGGGCCAGGAGGGCTTACCTTCAGCAACTCCTGATTAGCAATCCCGCTGCTCTGCTAAGGCAGGCTTTCTGTGTTTCCAGTCACCGGAAACCCTGCAGTGCAGAAGCAACCTGCAGCAGGTTTCCAGCCACTGGGAGTGCAGAGCTAGTGATTGGGGCATGGGCAGTGCTCAGAGCCCTGTGTGCTCTCTCCTTCCCTGCACCTCGGAGGCGCAGTATAGTCTGCAGTGTCAGGACAGGTAGGTAGCCTTAGCACCCCTGCTGATGACCTCATCTGCCTGCAATAATGAGACCCAGTGCCTGGCATTCCATGACCCCAAGTTTGGAAACTACTGCTCTAAGGCATCTGTAACTAGCACCCAAAAAATGTCTTCTCACTTTTGGGCCAACACTATTACTCTACACTTCTATTGACCACCGGACATTACGTGTCTATGCATTGTAAAACAAGGAATTTTTTATACTGAAACCTGGGTAGTTATAAAGCGAGTAGGTATGTGGATAGACTACATTTAAATTAATTCAGTGTATCTTCTTTGGAACAGGGCTCTAAAGGTGAATTATTCTTAAATGAACCTTTTCATAAAGATCTGGGAGTTTACTTCAAATAAAGTAACATTTCCCAGCCACATTGTCTGTCCCGCCATCTCACCTGATAAATGTTTCATTGGCAGTTCCCTGAGTCCACTGGTTTCACCTGTACTTGTGTCATAATTGGATAAAATTGCCAGTGCATAAAGGTTGTCATAAAGCACGTTTCCTCGTATGATCTGGAGACTGGTCAGTGGAATGCTATCCACGTTGTTGAGTGCTATTAAGACATAGCCTGCAACCTCCTGTATGGTCTGAGGAAAATCGGAAGGAACAAGACATTTAGTGTCATTGTGTCAAGCTGTTTTTCTGATCTGTTTGCCGAGAAGAAAACAAGATTAATTTGAAGAGCTTATCACCTCAGAACTTAGATCAGTGATCCACCCATGAATCTCAGGTACCCCACAGTTCTTTTATATATTTTATTTTAACACACAAGTGAGTTATATTTGATATAATTACTCTCATAATCTCTCACCGACCAAAAATACTGTAACCCAATAAACAATCATGAAATAAGTACTGAACACACCATTATTTGCAAAAGCACAGATCTGAGGAAGAATCATTTAGTGCGGCGGAAATCTCTTCTAACAAAAATTACTACATGACTCCAGGAGGAAAGACTGAAGCTGAAGTCCATGTGTGCCCTGCTGCTCCAGGCAGGGAGGCCAAAGCCCACATCTGACTACCCAGGGCAGGCAGGCCTAAAGCCAATGCTTATGGGCTTCATCCCCAGATCTGAAGCTGAAGCCTGATCCTTGGGTGGGAGGAGGGGGTTAGGCTTTGGCCCTGAGCCCCAGCCAGTCTAATGCCAATCCTGGTGACTCCCATTAAAATGGGGTCATATTCATAGTTCCTGCTAAGGTGTGCGCCTTCCCTGTCCACTTCCTCTGGAGAACCACACAGCAGCACTCATGCAGCCAATGGCTGGCTC